CTGCGGGCGCGGGGGCCCCTCTCGCCCCGCGGGCGGTGGGGAGGAGAGGGGGTTGAGGCTGTGAAGGAGCTGCCCCGGACTGCCCGAGACCCCGCGCCCCGCACGGGCACCGGGGTTTCTGCGCGCTGCAGACGGAGAGGTGCGCTGGGTCGGGGGTTGTTTCCGCAAGCCCCCGGCCCGTAACTGGATAGGTACATGGTGAGGGGCGTGCCGTCACGCCTGAGCAGTGTGGTATAAACCTTTCTATACAAGGGATCTGTAGGTAGTACTCGGAGGATTTAGCCGCTAGAATAAATGCAAAGTTTGCTGTTATTTCAAATTTTTAGAAGGGCGATCTTAGGAACACACCCAGTGTCAGAGTGGCAAGTGTGTCTGTGGTGATAGGTGAGTGCGGCCACATCCAGCAGCCCGAGACAGCTCTGAGGTCCAGCCAGTAGTCAACCCAATACATGCTACAAAACTAACATATACTCGACAGATACTAAAATTAATTTTGTTCTAGGAAGTGTCATAATTTACGCTTGTCTGAGTTGGCAGTAGTGCATCTTCCTGAAGGTGTGTAGGTGAATGATCTGCCATCATTCCCATTGGTGACAAAGGAGTCATTTCCCGCTCCGGGTCACCTGCCTGCTTGAAGCTTCTGACACTCGCATCTTCCTGCATTCCTCCATCCCTCTGGGGCGCTGGAAAACACCAGCCTGGTGTTTCCCAGCTGACTCAGTTAATTACTGAAATTAGCAAAAAATGTCTCCCAGACTGAGAGCCTTGCCTTTTCAAGAACTGACAAGATAACATCCGGCATCCTCAGAATCCCTGGCATAGCTTTGTGATATCCTGTCCTGTGAAACGTGAGCTTATATTTAGAGCTACTTCTGTGATAAAGAACTTGTCCTTGCCCAGAGTGACTAAGGCCTTTTGAACACTTTTTGTTGGCTACAAGTTAATGCGCTCCTCTGTGTTAATAATAACGTGGGAAAAAGTAAAGTGGTTACAGATGGGGTGAATTCATAGGCTTTATTTGGACCCTTGGCCGTGGGTTCCCCAGTTTGTGATGAAGAGTTATGTAACTAAAGAAAAGAATGCCATGATGGTTTAAGTATTTAAAGATTTTTTGGATATTCATATCCCTTTGTGCTTTTTAAAATAGTTTTTACAGAAACTGCAAATGTTGCATTATAGTTGGGAATAGTGGTGTATAAAATCATGCCATTTTTGTTATTTTTTAGTTCAATTAAACAAATAGAGCTTGAATGTCTAGCTTTTCATAAATCTTTTTCTTATAGCCAATTGCCAACAGAACATGCTTGGATATGTGTACTGAATATGTGCTTAGTTGCTAAATTTGCTTAGGTACAATGTGCGTATGCAATTTCTTACAACTGATTTTGGAAGTGTGATACAGAGGGGAAAAAAAACCAACCAAAAACCCAAACAAATCCTACACCTCCCTTTTTTTCCTGTATGAATTATATCCCGTATAAAAGTAATTAATTCTCTCGTGGATATTATGAGACCATTCAAACATTGCCTCCTGTTTATTCTTTGCAAGTGCAAATGAGCTAGATAGGGAAATGAATAAACATGGACAACTGCATATGAAACAAAACATTATACAGAATTAGTGAGAGTTAAGAGGCTTGAATAACTTGAACAATTAGCCCGTAGAGGACACAATTAATAGGAACGGTCTGTCACAGTCAGATGATACTTGTTCCAGATGTTTGCCCTTTTAATATACTTTTTTTTTTTCA